TACAGGTTGTGACTTAGATTGGAACTCAGATAATGAGCTTTGCCAATATCTCAGCCATTTACCAGGTACCATGTCTGGTCGGCCGTGTCAGATTGTGTATGTACAAAGTCAAAGGCAGGTACGTTTTGCATTCCCCGCACATCGTGCGTTAGGCTGCCGAGGCCTGTGGCGTGTGAGGAGGGTACTGAATGTGGTATCGGCTGCATTGGAGTGGGATAACATGTATATGTTACTTAGTAATTGAGCCCCACAAAATTCATCTGAATACAACTTTGACAGGGCTGATGTATTGATCTGAGAGTTTCAATTTCAACAAGGTTGCTTTTCCGAACTGATCAACTTTGCAGATAGAACTATCTTGATTATGTAGCCTTGTAACAAGTACTAGTATCTAGGTCATTCTGTTTGGTTTGGTTTGGTTTGGTTTGGTAATGCTACGTTGAAAAAATAATGCTACGTTGAAAAAAAAACAGCAGAGAAAAATATTTGGATCTTTGAAAAAGACTGACCAGTATTATGTTAATCTGTTCCTATTTTTGTTTCTAAAGGGTAGACACTCTGGTTTTTAATGAGTATCATGTATTGTGTAATTATTGGAGTCCACCAGGAAAGCCACAATGGGAGCGCTCTCTTATTGCCCTGGGCAAGTATCTGGTGGGTTTAATCGGGCTCATGTTCATGGATATAAACCTGCTAGCTCAACTGGACAATGTCCTTCTGAGGTAATACTTTCTCGAGTAGGGGGTTCAATATCATGCCAAATTTGTCACTCCTTTCGTCCTCGTCTTGGATGTGACATTACAAACACGACGGCATTGACCTTTATACCACAGGGCAGATGTAGGGGACTTACATGTAACTGGCCACACGGACAACCCGGCATCTTGAAATTTAAAAGTCACAAAATACAGTCAACTCGACGCCTGTATATTCCAAAGCAACCTTGTGGCCTGCTATAAATGCTGCTATCTATGCACCCATTAAAAGGGTCTTCCTGAGGTGGTTGTTATGTTCAATAATCCTTGTGGATTGAAGGGGCGTATTTATTATCTCTTGAACAGTTTTCTCATGTCCTCCGGTACTCAGCCATGGAGCACGGCTGATCGGTGACAAATAGTTATTAGAACAAGGGCTGCTTTAATGAGCGCCAAGTCCACGTGGATACATGGGCCCGGGGTCGGAATGGCTCATTGCCAGCGCCCGTAAGGCCGAAATGTTGATGGCACGGCTTCGGCCGGACAGAGTGAGTTATAGCAACATTAATTTCGCCCTGAGTTTAAAGCACGGACATGGGTGATGGACTGCAAACTCCCGGGGACTTCCTGCATATAGAGGTCATGAAAGCTCCAGCCAATGGTGGCCCGTGGCAGGTGGAATTACATTTGAACTAGAATGTACTAGAAAGGTAATATAGTTTACCTTCGCATATGGTCTTCTCTGTTAATTCTTACTCAAACACATTCACATACATATATATATGGTCAGACAGGAGTCTAAATCCCTCTTGGTATAAAAATGCAACATGATGTAACCCAACACCAGTTACCATGGTGACAGACCTCTGGTTCAGGTCATTGACCTTACTTGTTTGGAGAAGAGGAAGAGGAAACAGAGCAAAAACAATATGTAGAAGTTCTAGCTACAGAAAAGGTCTATGAAGCACCTTTGTTCTGGAATAGTTCTTCTTTAGTACAAGCTGTTCACTCTGTGTGACTTATCAGTGGGATTTGTATTGATAATGATGTAAAATGGTGTTCCAAATGTACGCTGGCATTTTGATTGGTTTCATGAGTTATTACTACTCGTACTAACTCGTGATATTGCGACACTCTCGGAAAATTACGAATGGCGTCGTTTGAACGTGATTGCAAGAGAAATGAAAATTATAAGGTAATGTTAAAATATCTCGGTATGTTGCAATGTTACAAGTCACAATGCATTTAGAACAATTTTCCATGATAAATGACAATATGTATAGCCTTGAAATTTTCCTCTTCGAATCACGTCTAAATGACGTATTTCCTAATTTCCCGAGAAAGTCCCAATATCAGCCCCTTAGCACGAGTAGTACGTAATAACTCACGGAACCAATCAAAATGCCAACGTACATATGGAACACCATTTCACATCGTTACCAATATAAGTCCCACGCAGTCAACAGCTTGTATACTAAGAAGTAGATTGTTCAGATTTTTATTTATCAAAACAACAGTATATAATATACAAACTAAACTATAGCCGAGATGGTTTATTCAGAAACAGAAATAAAAGAGCCTCCAATTCAGCCTCACATTTAGAGATAAAATCTCAATACCACAAATTTAACGAAACGAAAAAAGAAAACATTTAACAAGCAAAATTATCATAAAATATAATGCCCAAAGTATGAAATACTGACTCAAATGTGCTAATGTGAAGCAGTATGTGTCAATATCACAAAGATTGCCTTAGTCAGACTATTTCCTGTTTTGCTGTCCTGAAGTCGCATTGAATGCTGAATCTTTAAAGAGAGGAGAAAGAATAGGCTAGGCTTTTGGCCAATTGGTTATCAATCATTCAGGACTCCCTGTCGCGCGTATTGCCAGCCAGGATGTATGAGGCTGTTTAAGAGCCGTTAGACTGTCCCCAAGGCACTGATTTATCGTTCCAGGGTACAGGGGGTCAGTGCTAAATTAGCTGGAAAAGTTTGAAAGTTAGGAAGGATCGACAGAATCTATAATTTCACACAAAGCTGATTGGATGTTGGTCGGACGGATGCAAAACTTGCTGTATGTAATTTTTCTGCACGAGGAATTTCATCCTGTGTCTAATCATGCCCAAATCTCATCCTGAATCGTATCTTACCGTAACAAGTCTCGGGAGTCTTTTTACCCGTGTGTTTCACAAATAACATCATACGTTTTCTTAGATGTACTCAGTACAGATTGAATTTAAGCTGGAGGATATATTTTTTTTATTTATTCCGACAGTTAATCACAAGACGTGCGTGGTGATGCCATGCACTCAAGTTTTTTTGACTTATATATATTTATGCCACCACCAACATAGAGGGCAACACATTTTCACCTAAGTGAAGTGAGGAAATTCGTGTAAAGTGCTTTTCCCAAGGGCACAAGACTGTCGACATGGCAGCATTCGAACCCAGGACGCCACACGACCCCACTTTGAGGATATTTTGAAAATTTTAATAGCTTCTTCTTACGCTATATCTACATGTAACATCTAATCTTTTGCTGCCGATGCATTCCTGGTAGAACGCTTGAGGCGGGTCTCTGATCCTTTGTGAATATGATTTTCCTCAGAACGCAGAATTCTGATCACGTCTTACAATGTCTTCAAGGCTGAACCCAAGAAAAACGACTTTAATAATGGCGCTAATCACTCACCAAGTAGCGAACTGCTGAATACACGTATATTGCTTCGTTTCCAATCGGATATTACGTTTATTGAAACAGATCTTCATGCTTTACTGTTAGTGGCTAGATTAAAGTGGTTGTGATATGTAATCTCATTGGACAAGAATAAATTCACAGAGAGCGTTGCGATGTGGAATTCCATTTGACGCGATAACAAGAATCATCCAACCACGCTCAACGTTTTATTTGCTTTCCAAACCGTTTTATTTGCTGCCCAGACATCCAATCAGGACATTGCTATACGTCCATAATTTGTAAACATGTCTTTTCTTGGTCTATCCTAGCCCTTCATGTAAAGGATGAAACAGACTTCGATATTGAAAGAAATTTGAGTGCGGTAGACCTTGGCAGATCACCTTTTCTGAGAGTTCGATATTTGCAATGGAGGAAATGTACAGGATTCATGGCCGATCGTTGGCAATAGCCCAAGGCAGGGTCTCTGTGGGATATTCGAATAAAAGTAGCCTTCAAGCTAAACAAGAGTTAGGAGATCTCGTACCTCCGTAAGTTTTGTAGAGCTTTTAAAAATCTATTGTTTCATCTAGCCTCGTTGATTCTGCTAAGAAGGTTGTAATCAGTATATGTATTTCAAGTGATGGTTATCTTTGCCAAAATTACATACATTGTATGAACAAGGGTCAATTTTTTGGCAGAATTTCTCTCAGGTAACGAATGCAAGTACTGTAAATGAAGAAAAATTGATTCGGCCGTCCATGTACACTTATTTATTTATGTGCATTTTAGCAAGGGGATATCGTCGTATCATCGGCAGTTTGCAGTTATTTTCTAACTTGTGAATAATTGCCACCAACCTCTAACATACATAACTTTGCAATTCTTTTTAGATCCGTTTGTTCTCCTAAGCCAATACTTACGTTCTGCCATATCTTATACAAATTCTTAATTAAAAAAGCATTTTTCTGTATAGTGCGCCAGAAATCACCAGCGGAATTGCAGTCTGTAGTGTGTGGGTAGGAATGCCCCTGGAGCTTAACTATTGGAATATAACGCCGTTGAACTAACGCTTCTGACTTTAAACAATAGTACAGAAACATAGCGTCAGATGACACGTTCATTTTAATTTTATCTAAAATTGTCTGGCATGTCACATACACAGTCTCACATTAAGGATGTTTCACAGTCACTGCACAGAGATCTATCATTAAAATAACAAGGTTCCTCAATTAGAATTTCGATATCAAACATCATATTACAAGCTGTGTATAAAATCAAATCACAGAACCGCTATGCCGGGTGCTCAGACATGCACGTGATATTGTACATTTGTACAAAAGTCAGAAGGTTTGCTTGGTACAAAATTAATGAATTATAATGTCTACGAGGGATGTATATATCGCCTGTCTTGTCCGTTGTTGTAATTTTGTACGCAAACTCAGGGAGTCTTATCCCTGCTGTGAAGTTTACTTTTTTGATATCACGAATAAAGAATACATGAAAGACTGTTTATGACGCTTTAGCTTTGTTCTGTTGAATGTGGGGCGTTCTTCCTGTTGTGGCCTGACAAATAAGAAATCTTATATATGAATCGACCGGTATGATTCAGTAGACATGTGCCTAAAAGCTTTTACCAGCTTGTCATGGAGATCGCTAGTATGTAACACGATGCATCCCGCCAACGATTATGAGCGAGGGCGGTCCACAGTGTTCCGCTTCTTCAAAAGAGCGGATGTCTCGGGATAACCTACGCTATCGCGGCGTGCGTCATACATGTAAGGTTTATGAGGTCCGCTTTCCTCCTCATTTCTAGGGAGCCTCCACAGAGAGGAGCTGAGGCGCTAGACCGGAGAATCTGCTGTCAGTTTTAACCAAGGCTGGAGGTGTGAAGAGAAGAGCTCGACTTGCACTTCGCTGGTTTTGTTGGGGATCCAGCGTGCGAGTGGTTCACACTACAGAACCAGACATGGCGTTACTCGGACTACATCTGTTATTCCTCATCCTGAGGGGTAGGTTCTGCATGTATTTCATTGCATGGCGTAGGAAGATATCGTTGCTTTGCCGCATGTGTGTTCTGTGTGGACAGTAAAACATCTGATATTTCCTAGGCCTAGTAGTATCTCATCTCATTGTTGCTACATGTACGTGTGAGACGTTTTGGACCCGAGTTTAGAGTGTAGTCGTTGAATGAATGAACGAATGAGTGAATGGTTTATTCAAGACGAAAATCCCTCTCGCAGTGAGTCTATTGGCTGAATTGCGGGTTCCTAGCAATTCCTTTCAGCAAATAGTTGAAAGTAACATGATACCATCAATATCATGTATCCCGTCAACACAGTAATAACAGAAATTTTGGCTATATTTTAGTTGCAAACAGGAACATGTAGCATATATTATAAAGAGAAATGGCATAATGCCATACAACGTATGAAAAGAAATCTAACGTATGGAAAAGACACAGTGTATCCAACATAGAATTATGAAATATGGAAAGAACTACAAAATATATAATTACCAATCACGAAAAACTGTCATAAAGTACAACGGAATGTTCACGGGATAAGCAAAACAAAAGACAAAAGCAACATTTATATGGTTACCGAAATGTTATATACTGTATGACAGGCAATATTCAAACTCATCGTCCCTGATGACCTCCTGACAACCCGAAGGTTAAGCCAGAAGATTTATCGTTCGTTTTCTACGTCTAGACTCATCAATATTAGATTGTGCATGTAT